GCCAAATCGAAGCAAGTGGTTTTATTTTGTGTGGTAAACGTATTCTTCGGCCGACTTGGTATCCTTATTTAACGGTTCTCTACAAAGTCCAAAATTTGCGACTTTTAGTCAGTGAGATCCAACATGATTTCGTTCAAACTTTGTGAAAATTTCCGAAATAAGATACACCCAGGAAGAGTAAAGCCGGCGTGTAGACTTCATCATTCCGTTGCGAACAGCTCCGTGTGCTGGGTCCAACTACCTAGCTCGAAGAGCCTTCAGGTTTCAGCAAAGTCTTCCTCCTCTACCCGTGTAAACTCACCGGCACGAAGTCCAATCGTGGTGAGAAACCCAGTTGCACCTGGCATAAATTGTTTACCTTTATTGTGTCCAACGGACACTGATGTTCCAGCAGGCGAAAGTCTGTGTGCTTAAGACCAGTGGAAAGAACGAAATTACGAAGGGACGTTGGGCGTTTAAGTTCTATAAGTCAAAAGTTAGCCAAACCACGTGAGGCTGGTAGTATACTTCGCCCTGCAAGGTCAACCTCGTCCAACCAGAGGCGTTATAACCTCGTGATCTTCCACGAACCGGAGTCCAGTGATCCATCACCCCAAATGCACTGCGATCACGGTGTCGAGTTTTTACAGTGTCTAATTGACAGACTCCTCGACGCTGGTGAGGACTCGATAAAGGTGAAGCAACTTACCCGTCTTGGAAAGCAAGGTGCTCAACAAAATCGGCCTATGAGAATCACTTTCGTGGACGAAGCCGGTCCCAGACTGGTTATCTCCCGTCTAAGTAGGCTGAAAGTTTTGCAGGTCCATGTTCGTCCAGACCTTGACCCAGTAAACAGGGAGCGGCTCAAATCTTCCATCATAGAGCTGAAAAGACGTACTGGTGAGGGGGAAACAAATCTTCGTATCGTAAATTTTCGAGCGATTTCCAACAATCTGCTAATCAGGATAAACAGGTTGCCTACACTGAAAGCACGCCCGGCGGTTCCTTCTGCGGCCTGCGAGTAGCCTTCACAGACGTTTGCAGTGTTATGAACAAGCGCGATGAGCTTTGTTGTTTCGTTTCGTCTGAGCGGCCAGACGTAGTGGGACTCGCAGAGAAATAGCTGCATTCAGAGTTATGCACCCAAGAACTTGAACTCAATGGTTACTCGTGCTTCCGACGCGATAAACTGAAGAATGCCCACTGTGGTGTGTTACTTTACATCCGGTCTTCCCTGCGTGGGAGATTTGTGGGCACCTACCGAAGTGACGATGGTTTGTGTGAGTTGCTGTGGTGCTCCATACGTTTCAGGCGCGGAGAACTGCTTGTGGGCGCAGCCTATCGCAACCCCCTGAGTTGTTTGGATTGGCTGCCCCATTTTCAAACACACATGAGTCGTCCACACTTTCTACTTATGGGCGATTTTAACTGTCCTCGAATACGATGGCCTGATGTGCGTTTGATGCCTGGACATGGTGAGGTTGAAGAAAAGTTAGTGGATTTGGTACTTGAAACTGGTGCATCGCAACACATTTGCCAGCCAACACGCATAACAACACGTTCAACCCCGTCCTGTCTCGACCTGATGTTAAGGAGCTTCGAACAACGAGTGCTTGACGTTCGGATCCTGGAGCACCTGGCTACAAGCGACCACTCAGTGCTCATATCTGATATGGAATTACATTTGCCGTAATCACCGCTGGAACCAGCTCACAACTACTGGAAAACGGACTTCGATGGTCTTGCTCGAGCCGCGAGCCAACTAAATTGGTCTCTGTCACAATCTGCCTCTATGGAAGGCTGTTGGATATTTATACAAGAGAGATTGACATCATTGTGTTCCCAATTTGTGCCATTGAAATATCGGAAGGTTGGACCGATTAAGCCTCCTTGGTTTGACAAGGAGTATGGAAACCTGGCTCGGAGGCGGCGCAGACTGTGGGACAAATTCTTCCTCTCTGGCTCTGCCAATGATTACGAAGTGTATACAAGTCAGCGGAACCTTTGCAACAGTACAAAAAGGAATAAGCGCCGACATTTCAAAGAGCAGCTCGCAATAGCCGCGAAGGCCGCCCCAAAGAGAATTTTTGTTTACGTGAAGTGACGCCTGAAGCCGGCAGGTGATGTGCCAGTGCTGGATGGCCCGGATGGACAGCCCCTAACCTCCAGCACTGAGTGTGCGTCCGCGTTGGCGGCGCACTTCGCTTCTGTATTTGCGAATGACCAGGTGTCCATTCCAAGTTCGACGTGTACCGCTTTTACCGAACTCAACAATCTGGATTGCGGCGTTGAAGAGGTATGTCAACTACTCGCCAACCTCGACGGCACTAAACCTGCCGGACCTAATAGGCTTCACTCACTGGTTCTCAACTCACTCGACTATCACGTCTGCTGTCGTGACTGACCTTTTCAACAGGTCGCTGTCCGAATATTCGTTGTCGGTTGACTGGAAATGTTCGGTGGTGAAGCCTATTCCGAAAGGCGGCGACCCTAACAAAGTAGACAACTACAGGGCAATTTGTCTGACACCTATTTTGGCGAAGGTTGTTGAGAAAATCGTGAAGAAGGGATTGCTGCAGTTGGTACAGTCAAACGAGGTCCTGACGCCTGCACAGCACGGTTTTATGCAGGGCCACTCATGCATTACGAACCTGCTTGTGACGAAGCATGAGTGGGTGAATGCAATAAGCAAGGGGAAGTCTGTCGACGTGATATTCATCGATTTCAGTAAAGGGTTCGACAAGGTCAACCATGAGGTTCTCCTTCACAAATTCAGGATGTGAGGTGTCGGTGGCTCCTCGCACCGGTGGATTCGCGACTTTCTTCTTGGACGAAAGTGAAGGGTAGAGGTCGACGACCATCTAACTGACTGGTTTCCCTCTACAAGTGGCGTGCCTCAAGGCCCTGTGCTAGGTTTCACTCTGTTCCTGACCCACATCAACGATCTACCTCGCCGTGTGCCTTGTTTGCGGATGACATGAAGATTTGGAGAGAAATTGAGGCTCCCGATGACTGTGGCCGACTTCAGCAAGACCTCAACTGCCTATCCACATAGCCTGCAGAAGTTCTTCTCCCGGTCAACCCAGCCAAGTCTGTATTTATGAGCCTGGGGAAGCGTGCTGATGGCCGTACCTACACCCTTGACGACCAACCGCTGTATCTCACACCCTCCGTGAAGGACCTAGGTGTACTCTCGCGCTACGTTTTGAAGTCAGTGGACAACACGAACTTGCTATATCGTAACGGACTGCGCCTGCTTTGGGCGCTCAAACGTAGCTTCGGCACATGGTCTGAAGAGGTTGTCACTCGCCTCTTATCTTCCATCATTAGACCAATACTAGAGTACGGCTCGCCTGCCTACCTTCTGATTACCCGAGGCAAGGCACAAAAGATCGAACGGGTCCAACACGTTTCTACCAGGCTCATCCCGAGTTTACGTGGCTTTGGGTATGAAGACCGGTGCGGGAAACTAGGACTCTACACCTTGTCGTACTGTTTGGTGCGAGTCGACCTCATTATGACCTACCGTACTCTACATCTCGGTGACTTTCCCATGCTGAGGCCAATGCTGCACTTACGAGGGCCATGCAGCACAAGCGGACACAGATACAAACTTGTCGTGCCGGATGTGACAGGTGTTCCCCACCCACTGTGCTTCGAACGGAGAGTGTTAAATATTGGGAACAGTATTTTTGGACATGTGATGGAGGCAGCATCTGTGTAACCGTTCAAAACATTGTTAGATTTATCTTTTACTACTATTCGATCCAAAGAACGATTGCACAATTACGATGACATGTCACATTCGTATGTCCTGCAACACCGTGAGTCAGATATTTTAAATGTTACATGAGAACGGTAACGTATTTACGGCTGACAATTTTTATAACGTTTTTCACCATATTTCGAAAGAGTTGTACAGAATTCATTTCTGGTTGCTTTATAATACAGTATTCAGAGATCATCCGTTCAAGGGACACTTGGTCATCCAGCATTTTTCAGCTGGGTGTCTTAGGTCGGATTTGGGCGCGTTCATGATGCTCATACAACGATCGCGAGAGGGCAGTTGGGTGCACCCAGGGATCTGTGGCTGAGAAGGAGATGCATTGTCATTGATCAGCTTTTGCAGTCGTTTAATTTTATCGAGAACTGATTTCATCTATGTCTCTGATGATGATGGTTTTGGTTTGGACTTCGTCTGGACCTCACGCGTAGGAAGGTTCTTGCCACCTGAGACCATAGCAGTTCCCTTCACAAACGCCGTGCTGGACGTGTGTCAGTTGCTTCATCTGCGAAGCAGACTGGACGCGGCTTCCTTCCTCGCAAGTGTAACTGAGTCGGAAGCAGAGGTGTGCAAGAGGTGTAGAGAGGCAAATGAGTCCAGACCTGGTGTGTGTTTTAAGTTGGGTCGGAGTAGAATGAAAGCTCAACCATGGTATTTCGGCTAGAATACGTTTGCTGTTTAATGCAGTACGACAATAGTTACAAAAAAGGCATTGCTGGAGAGGCGGTTCGTTAGAAGGATTCGTATAGATCAGGACAGATGCCACAACAAACCATTTGCATCCACCTGTCACTTTCAGTGTACTGTATTGCTTTTGACACATATGCTACAGATCAGGCATTTGGACACACCATAACCGAACTTGGGTCCGGAGTCCGACGAATCAACGAATTTAGGTAATAAGGCAGCGCAATTACCTGATAAAATCCTTGTGGCACTCAGCCAGATAAGAGATCGCTGCTGTTTGTTTAGACGATTTTTCTCGTTTCCTCCTTTTTTACCTTTCCTTTTTTCGTTTTTGTTAGCGTTGTGCCGGTTCTTCCTTGGTTCTCATCTGAGAATCTAAAATCATCATTCATCTTGGACTCAGTCCCATCTCGAGAGGATTCTACCGATCGGTGGCATCCATTCACATGCCAAGTGCTAGCCTGGCGCGTTTTCCATTTGACTCCATCTCTTACTAAGTGGTTGTAGTAATGGCATCCAACTACTTACGAAGTATTTGTTTTGCTTTTCAGCCTCACAGATTTCTTGGGACCGACGCGGAAGAATCCCGAGTCGGCACACGCGTGTAACGTGCGTTTTTCTTGTTATTACTGAGTTCAATCTTGATTCATTGGATCTTACCCAGAGTGCTCATCAGATCATATCCGGACCATTGAACGTTACAATGTTACGCGATTATCTCGTTCGGATAGATCACGCTTTGCGTAAGCCTGGGCTCGTATGTGACATTCTCACTTCGTGCGAAGAACGGACAGGCATTGGTCGCACCATTATAGCGACTGGTGTGTTTATTCGAACATAATTAATCTATCTTGTAGTTACAGCATCATTGTTCTTGCTCTATTTGCTTTTAGGACATGGTACTGCGGTCTTGGTCCTCTTGATCGGCTTCCTTTATCCTGCCTACCAGTCGTAAGCTAATCCTTGCTTGTAACCACCTGTTTGCTTAGCATAAAAGCCATTGAAAGCCCTTCAAAAGATGATGACACACAGTGGCTTTGCTACTGGGTCGTTTTCGCGTTTCTACAAATGGTGGAAGCATGCACGTTTTCACTTGTGTATTACATTCCAATATATACAACGATTAAGGTAAGTAGTTTTATCTCAGGTCTTGTACTTTCTAAATCCGATTTCACTTTATATATCTGTGTGCATCAAGTCAGGTTCCAAGAATAATACAGGCTCGCCTAACAAGCCTCCCACTTTTTGTTCGGCTGATTGTCGTTACTAGGAAGGAAGTTTTGCAAGAACTGCTGCTCTTTCATGGATCAGCACCGGGATTCACTACGCGAGGTATCGCCGCTATAAGTTTTAATAAAGTTAGAATAATTTGAGATATGGATCTGACGAGTACCTATCTAGACCCTTTATAATGGATGCCGGCTTGCCTAACTACCTTGTGGTGAAACAGCATGACTTTCCACTTGGTAAGCGTTTTCCATATAAAAGCCACATATTTGGTTAACAGCACTGTCACTCGCTATTAGGTGGACTCACTTCCCCCCCCCTCTTACTTCGGCAAATCACTGCAGTCCAGAGGATGGACACAGGGTGTATTTGGCCTCAGTCTGGCAACTCACCAAACCAAAGGCATATGAGCTGAAATATCGGTCACTGGTTTCCAATAGGTGCTATTCCTTGACCTCGCCCCTCTGCCTTACCTATAAGATAGCTAGAGGCTCGTGGTTTCCCTTAATTCAACTCCCTATTTCGGCTTGGACGACGGGTTACTACCACGTTCTATAAAGAAACCATGGACTGCTTTATTGCGTTTGGTTTCCTTCGTACTTTGGTTTTTGTTGGCTCCCAATATCTTTAGTCTGTTGAAAAATTTCCGCCATAACAGTGGGAACTTTATTTCAACTTCTTACGACTCGATCGGTAAAAGTTCACCTCGATGTCCAGCCCGTACCTCTGTTGTTTGAGCTACAGACGATGTCCGCACGTATGATCCGACTCATTGGACTCAAACATATCAGTAGGCTAGATTTACAGGCCATCCATATGCATAATCTCTGTCAGCAGCATCGCATTCAACCGGAGACTGACCATTCCTCTGCTTGTTCGAATTTACACTCTGATGCGTCTGTTCTTCACCTTTTGCGGAATCTGACGATGCAGGCTTTAAAGTGCTGTCTGGTAAAAAGCTAGTTGATTTTGATTATGCAGACGAAATTATCTTACCTTCCAACGATGTTGGGGAGGTCCAATCAACTCTGAATACTTTCTCTAGAGTAAACCCGTCATCTGCTATGCGCTGCGCTCTTTCAAAATGCAGTGTTTTTGCAGGACCACCCGATATTTGGTGTCCCATTGACCATTAATAGCGAGGAACTCGAGGTAGCTGCTCAATTCACTTACCTTGGCAGCTACATCAGCAGCAGTAGGCGCATAAGCAGTGAAGTCAGTTTACGTATTGCAAAAGCTAGGACCGTTTTTATCGAATCTGTTTCGCCAGAAAGGGGTTTCCTTCGATCTGAAAGGTCATGTTTACAAGACCACAGTGAAGGCTTTCTTACTCTATGGGAGTGAGACTTGGCGCCTTCGGTCTGATGATCGGAGGCAGCTTCAGTTCTTCGATCATCGCTACCTGCGAAGCATCACTAGTGTCTGATGGCGTAGGCGAGTACTAGGCAATGGTTCCTTTAACGAAAGATAACACTAACTAAGTTGTATTGGCTTAGTTACGCACTACGTATGCCCGGTCACCATTTACCAAGAAGGGCCTTGTTTTGTTTGTCAAATGTAGGGTGGCGCAAGGCTCATAAGGGCCACAAGTTAACTTGACGGCGGTAAGTCAAGTCACTGACTAAAAAACTAGGTGTTGCAGATCCGTCTCACCTTCCAGGCTGGAGCCCACGTGACCTGCCATGTGCCTGACCTGGGAAATTACAGGACATGGCTCGCAATTGGCCCCGATGGGGCACTGTTGTCGTCTCCTAGTCAGACTGCTTGTTTAAACCGGTGATGGCTGATTATGACGCGGGGCAGCGAAAGCTGAAAGGAAACTGTCTCACTGATGCCACCTTATCTTTCCACGATAGCCATCTGTTTGTGACGGTAAGTTTTTTTTACAAGACTTATGCCCCTAACGCTGAATATTTGCTTGGGTCATTAATGTTTTTGGTTTGATCCCCCTTTTCTCCCACTCATTATTCATAGTGATTAAGGTGGTACGCAAATGAAGTGTCCTTTCGAATGACTGACCTATTGTCTCTGTTGTCAGTGCACCTGTTATTCACATCCTTTTATTTGAACTTCTGTTTGGTTGTCGTTTTCGACTGTGGCGGCAACATATTATATTGCTTAATCAGCTGTCGGTTTGTGTTCTGAGGATCCACGAGCGGTGACATTTCGTGTTGCATTGTTTATGGAGATTGAATGACGGAGATAGTGCACGCGGAACTGCAATCAGAGTGTCTTAGGGGTAAAGGTTAGGAGATAGGTATATGCAGCTATTAAATACAAGTTCAGAAGTAGGCACGTAATCAAGTGCCAACACTAGAATGTTAATGGATTTGGACACAGCGGCTGTACTCGACAGCGCTGCACTGAGACGTTAACGGATGAAACGTATTACAGCAGCCGCCAGTCTCTGCAGATCGGTGACAAGATAAAGCGTTTGCATTATAATCTAATGGTCACCGGTTCGAATCTGCACAGGGATAGAGGCGACTTTACCGTATGCGCAATCCACACTCTATTGGTAGTGTCCGCGTGGCAGCGAAATGTAGGTACGGTGTGTCAGCATACTGCTGATGCATGCATGGTACTTCACCTAGCAGTTCAATTCTGTTTAGTTAAACAATCATGACCCAGGCACCGAATTGTGGTGGATTCAGTCACCACAACATGTCGCCGTGCAAACAGTCATGCACGCAATGGCTTCGGTAGACAAGTGATCTTTCTTGGTTCCTTTCAAACTTTATACTCTTCTAAAATGAAACTCTCCTCATTCTCATGTTAAAATTGTTTAACTACAATTGTCTGCTTGGGTAATTAAGAGAAATCCTTTGAGAACTTAAACCTCCGTTAAGTCTGGCGAATCCTGTATACGGTCTTTAAGTCAATGTACTGGCATCTGTACTTCTTGAAACTGGCATGATTACAGTCACTACTGCTGCTAAGACAGGAGTCCGTTATCTTTTCAGGACATGCTAACGCGAGAATTTTCCGATTCATTGAACGTAGCAGGTAAAGTAGCGAGCCCCATTTTACTAGTCTAAGCTGACGATGCTGTATGGGATATTGTATGACAGCCATCTTCAGTCAAAAACAACATTTGACCACTCGAGGATTACCTCCAGGAAGGTGCTCAAGTGCAGCAACGCTTGTAGCAAATATGATAGCAATTAACATAAGATGATAACTGTATGCATCCTTGCTACGTTAGGCGATATACTGTTGCCAACAGTTTATCTGGATACGGAGGAAGACTTTTCATAACATTGGTACTTTTCTCTTGGACAAAATTGAAGCAGTTGGAATCTGCCCGGAGTCTTTTGTAGAGCAGATGACTTGCTAGTTTTTGGTGCTACTCGAGAGGAACATGATCGTTACCTTCATCAGTTTCTGCAACGCTGTAGTGAAAGAAACATCAAACTAGTGCGTGAGAAAGTCGAGCTACTCAAAACGGAAATGGTATTTCATGGTCACGTGCTGAGTTCAACAGGGTTGAAAGTGGGTCCAGAAAAATCAGAGCCACAGACGAGATGTGTTCCCTCACAGGTGCAAAGCCCGTTAGCAGGCTAAACGGAATAGTCAACTACTTGAGCCGTTTTTTCCACGATTGGCCGATGTCATGATACCGATTCGAAAGTTGACCCATAAAGGTGAAGCTTGGCACTGTGGCTCTGAACAAGCAAATGCCTTTAGGTAGATCAAAGAATTAATTACAAAAGCGCCTGTCCTTACCTACTTTGCTCCGTCACTTCCACTCGAGATTCGGTGTGACAGTAGCCAATACGGCATTGGAGCTGTGCTTATGGAAAGCGGTAAGCCTGTCAATTTTCGCAGTCACACACTCACATAGACTGATCGTCGTTACGCACAAATTGAAAAGGAAGTGTTGGCGCTGGTTTACACCGTAGAACGCTTCAGCGATCGGCCGCAAAACAACTGTCTTCACTGACCACATGCCACTTGTATCCATCGTTAGTAAGCCACCAAATGTCGTTCCACACCGCCTGCAAAGGATGCTCATTCGTCTGCAGAAGTATGACTTGGATATAGTCTACCGCCCAGGATCCCAGGTGTACATTGCGGACACCTTGTCAAAGGTGCACCTGCCAGACACATCGGAAATGGAGGAAGACCCGGATTTTGTCCACGCAACACAGCTGATTGTGGTCACTAAGGAACGTTTGCAGCAGCTCCAACAGTGCACAGAAGAGGATGAACAGTGCGGCCTACTGAGGCAGACGATAATAAACGGATGGCCCAAAGACAAGAACAAATTGCCCAAATTCTTAACTCCGTTCTTTCATTTTTGGTGACGAACTGATCACCCAAGACGGATTAATATTCAAGGCAACAGGATAGCGGTTCCGAGGGCATTGCAACGTTCATTGCTGCAGGTGGTACACTATGCACCTTTGGGAACCAACGGTGGCATGGCAAGAGCACTTGAGCTGATGTTCTAGCCAGGAATGAATATTCAAATACGTGATTACTTATCAAACTGTTTAACATGCAGGACACACCATGTGCGCCAGCCGAAGGAGCCGATGATGCTTCATGACGTTCCGGATAATCCCTGGCAAATGGTCACATTGGACATTTTTGTTCACGACGGGAAGAGCTATTTGATTGTGGTCGACTATTTCAGTGACTACTTCGAGATTGATGCCCTTACGTCAACCTGCGCGCAAGCCGTAGTGAACAAGTAACGGTGTCAATCCGCTCGACATAGCATACCCGAGGTGGTGGTTTCCGACAACGGGTCGCAATTCAGTAGTGCAGAATTCCGCGCTTTTAGAAAAAAGTGGGGTTTTCGGCATCGACTCATCAGACCGTACAACAGCCAATCAAATGGGAGGCCTGAGTAAGCAGTGAGGGAGGCGAAGAAAGTGCTTACTAAAGCCAAGGAG